CAGTAAGTTTTCAGTAAATTTTCAGAAAAGTTTACAGTCCGAGATTTTTCAGTAAACCCGAACCGTCATGTGCACGCCCCACCGACAACAGGTAAGTGCTGTTGCAATTCAGTTTTCAGTTATTATAAACATATTACTTTGTCTATGCTCAGAATTGAGGATCAGAACTTTAGTTAAGATGCTCGAATCAGATTCAGACTCTAGAGGTTGGACATGACTCTAGAATTCAGGCATTCAGATATGACTCTAGACGTTAAGATTTTTCCGAGATGACTCTAGAGTTCTTCAGGTTTCCAGTCAGTAGTTATCAGCCAATTTTGGCAACTCGTCAAGAGATCTGTGTGCCTTAGTAATCAGTCAGTAAAGTTATCATGTATTCAGTAACGTTCCATAATATTAAACTTTTCTCGATGTTCAGATATCGCCCCGTAGGGAACCCGATCACTCAGTTTTTATTTAAGCCACAGTAGTCGCACAGTTCTGCGACTATCATGTTGAGAAATTCTTCGGCCGAAGAAATCCCCGTATCAGGGGCAAGTGAATTCAGAACCGTAGAAAAAGGATTGAGTTTAAGAACTCTAGATTCAATTCTAGATTCACTCAAGTCAAGTTAGTAACTTGTCAGAAGATTTGTAAGCATTGTGCTAAACAAATCTTAAGAATCATGTTTCTCAGAAATTCTTATCGAGAACTGCCATTTTGTCAATCAATTGGCAGACTTCGGGGAGAAATTTCTTGATTTAATTCGAGGAATAAACTCAAAGTTCCTAAGTCAAAACAGTAAGTCTTGTTCAAAGCAATAATATTCATGTTAAGGGTTGTTATAATTCTCAAGTCATCAGTAACGGTTTCCAGTGTATAAGAGTCAATAGTCCGGGTTACCATGGAGGCTTGAAATAAGAGCCACTCAGCCGGGTATACCATGGAGGCTTGAAACTGGGGCCGAATCAGTAAGATTTCAGATAATAACAACCTTTCAAGTCAGTCATGTCAGATATTTTATCAGTCATACTATTTTAAGTTATAACTTTCAGAAGTCAAGATCAGCTAATTACTTTGTACTTGCGGGACCAGTAGATACTGGAGCAGCCCTATATAGTACAGAGTTCAGACTCACGATTTTCAGTTTATGTTCATGATATAAGGTCGACGTATAATAGTTGTTCAGCCGGGTAAAAGGTAGCGGTCTAATATACAGACCATTAGTTCAGATTTACCTGGAAACTTGAAGTCGTACCTTATCAAGTCAAGTAAGTTAGTAAATATCACGTTTTCATTCCTGAAGCAACTATTTAAGTTGTCTCGGGATAGTTTCAGAATTTGAACATAGATGATTCAGCCATGTAAGAGTCAAGTCATGGTTTTTCAGCCATGAGAGTATTCAGGTCAGTCATGACAAGATCAAGGATAGTCTGTCTGGTAAGATAAGACTTATCCACCATTTTCAGTATGTCAGCGCCCCGATTCTCAAATTTAGAAGAATCTGAGAAATCGTGGGAGATATTAAGTCAGGAGGGACTTCTTCTTGAGGTTAAGTGTAACCTCAGAGGGAGTAAAAAGTTGCAGGTACCACAAGTTGACATTCGCCGCAATGGAGAGGAGCCAATCGACAACAACGGATCGTGCAATGATGATAAACTGACGCTTCCCATTCGAGGATGCCATGTCTGAGTCTCAGCTCACGGGGAGATTGCGGAGAGAGTCTTCACCACCAGCATTCCGATCGGAGATCCGCCAGCAGCCAGAAGAGGACGACCAACATATTTCAGAGTTTCGTTTTGAAATCATGTCTTAGCAAGTGGAACACTTTCTTTCAGAAAGGTGTCCATATTCAGTCAACAGTAATTTACAATCCACTTAATTGTGAATTGATGTATCTTCAGTTCAAATCAAGTCTTTTATTCAGTATTAAATTACTGGATTCTTAAGTCATGCAATCAGTAA